ATATATCCTTCCAGCTGCAGGCCAGAATGACCTGTCTCAGGTCCGAGGCACATGGGTGGGTAGGCAATTGCATGTGGACAGCTCCCACAGCAGCATGGGGAAAACACCCACAGCCAGCACTTCTGTCCATGGAGAATGAAGAGAACTTCTCCATTGTCAAGCACCACATAAACTCAGATCCACAGGCTGCATCCAAGGACTCTGCAGGCTGGATCCAGCCTGCAAGCTGTGGGTTGCTGACACTTGCTCTATCCTGTAAACTTTGGGGCAAGCTGTGTAGATGCTAGAGTAGATGCCTAAAGCCTAGTTGGTTTACTACTTAACTTTACCACTGATGTTACCAGCCAGAGAATACAGAGAAAGCCACTGTTATTGTGAGGAACAACTCCAAGATGGGAAACCATTGAGAGGAACCACATAAGATGCTAAGGACAATGAAGCAAGTTGATTGAGAGGGGCTGGCTCAGATTTATATGGAAAGATTAATGGATCAATTGTAGAAGACAGAGAGGGACAGAATATTGCATTGTCTTGTTTTTTGTTTTATAGATTCACAGATTGTAAGGGACTGGAAGGGACCTTTCAAGATTATCAGGTCCAGCCCCCCTGCACTAGGCAGGAAAGACAACTGGGGTCAGGTGACCTCAGCAAAGTGACCATCCAGTCTCCTCTTGAAGATTTCCTGGGTAGGTGATTGCACCACCTCTGGAGGGAGTTTAATTCACAGTCTGGACACCCTGACTGAGAGGAAGTTTTTCCTAGTGTTATGCCTGAAACGGTCTTCTAGGAGTTTGTGGCCATTACTCCTGGTTCTCCCCAAGGGTGTCCTGGTGAACAGTTGTTCACAGAGCCCTTGATGTATTCCCTTGATATAGTGTTACCAAGTCCCCTCTCAGCCTTCTCTTTTTTAGGCTGAAGAGACCCAAGTCCCTCAGCCTTTCCTCATATCTCTTGTGTTGCAAGTCTCTAATCATATGGGTGGCTCTTCTCTGTACTCTTTCAAGCTTTTCCACGTCCTTGTTGAAGTGCAGTGCCCAGAACTGGATGCAGTACTCCAGCTGTGGTCTCACCAATGCTGAGTAAAGTGGAAGAATCACTTCCTTGGTTTTGCTTGAGATGCATCCATTGATGCATGCCAGAATACTGTTTGCCTTGCTGGCTGTAGCATGACACTGAGTGCTCATGTTCATACTATGGTCTATTATTACCCCTAGGTCCCTTTCAGTCCTGGTACTAGTCAATTTGGTGGCATCAAGCCTGTAAGCATATTGGGAACTTTTCATCCCCAGAGGGAGCACTTTACACTTTTCAATGTTGAATGTCATCTGGTTCTGATCCACCCAACTTGCCAGTGTGTCTAGGTCTGCCTTTATCTGCAGCCTATCTTCAAGTGTGACTACGCTCCCCCATAACTTGGTGTTGGCCGTGAACTTAGCCAGTGAGCTCTTCACTTGCACATCCAAATCATTGATAAAGATGTTGAAAAGCACTGTTTTTTTTGGTTTGGGGGTTTTCATACTGAAGGATATTTTCAACAGACAATATTAAGGTGCCACAGAAAAATGGAATATTTTTAAATCAAATTGCAAATGTAACTCCTTGAAATGCTATCAGTACCTTGACTATTTACATCTGGTTAACTGGTAAAACCATAGAAGTGGTCTATCTTATGTTAGTTCATACTGGGTATTAAAGCCGGATACAAACCAGGGAGCTATACAATTGTTACACATTTTCAAGCACTACCTTTATAGTCGGTTGGCTCTTTTTATCGCTGGATAGTCATTTTTATGTTGATAATTTTTATGGTGATAACTATTTTGCACATGGGGCCAGTCTTAACTTCTTGAGTGATTAACCACTTTATTGTGTAATATATGTAACATATAGCAGGGGCCTTTCTGAAGCCAGCTTGTCATTTTTCCCTTCTCTGACAGATGGAAGATATGGTAGAAAACCAGACTTCAAGTATTGATTTATAATTATGAAATAATTCTGGGACAGATTCCTGTGCTTCTATTCATGTTACTTTCTTCAGTGGGTAGCCCAGGTGAAGACAATGAGGCTGTCTGTAAAGTCAGATACAACCAAATGTAGAGAAATGTATCAGAACCTTCCCTCTGAAATTAGAGCATACATCATATAAATTGTCTAAAGCTTTCTGTCATGTTTTCTTGGTTTGTTGCCTCTTGAATTATGTAGAACCAACTGTGCAAACATACAAGGAAATATTGTGAATGTTCACACTTAAAAAGCTATGCTCACAAACAGAGGGGCCTCAATGCCCGAATAAATATAATACAGACAGCACTGGGTAATCCAAGCCATTAGTAAACTAGTAACCTAAATCTTGACTGTTTAAGAGACTTTTTTTAGTAAGATATAGAGAACTCTGTAAAAAACAAGAGAAACAAATATCAGAAATACTATGTACATCAGGATTATTTAGAAGAAATTATATTCCAGCATTTCTTTTTGGGGTAGGGAAAGGAGGGGAGAACTGAATAACAACAGGGCTAGTTGTCTTACTCCCTTCTGCTGAAGGAGATTTTAGACGCAGATACTTGTAGTAAGTAAAGCATCTACAGTAGCTCCCATTATTTGCACTGTGAATTTACCAAAGGTCCCGTGTTTCTGGGTGCTTAACTGTATCCACATAGCTGGAACTCAGGTCAATGCCAGGTTAAAGATTTGGCCGCTTGTCTTCTATTATTTTGTTATAGTATAGAAGTGTTATCTTCCTTATCATAAAAACGTTACCTCTGTTAAGTGTTCTGTTATTTTAGCACCTAATCCTGGTGACATTTATGATGTGCAGTATAACGTACTTTACTGATGTGAGGAGCTTTTCAATGGATCTTTCCTAATCATCTCAATTGAGCATTGGCTTTTGGACTGAATTTTTGCCCTTTTTTACCAGCATTACTAAATGTTAAGCTAATGATTATATCAGGAATCTATAGTTAATCTTCAGTGTATATTTCATGTCTTTATACGTACTTTACCTTATACATACTACTCTCTCCCAAAAATTGAGGAATCAACTTCTCAGTCTTCTATATGGCAAACAGGAAGAAATCACGACCTCTCTCTGACTTCTAAGAGCACTATAACCATCATTTGAATCTTCAAAATAATATCTGTTAAACATTATGAATATACATTAATATATCTGTGTGTGTGTGTGTGTGTGTATATGCATGTGTGTATGCATATATATATGTGTGTGTGTGTATATAATGCTCTATTATATATTGTGTTGAAGATTCAGATGATGCTTATGGCATTTAGAAGGTGATTCCTCAATTTCTTGGACAGAGTAAAACGTAGCTTGTTAGAAGAAGCTGTGTGGTATCTAGAACAGAGCAGAGTAAAAGTGGCATTTGCAATGCACTCAGCTGAAAAGTATTGAACTCCTGTGGTGCAGCTTGTGGGATTTTGTGGTGTTTCTATTTAAAAAAGCGGTCCAGCAAGAGGTAGTTCATTTGAAAAAAACCTAATAAATATTTTTGAATGACTCTCCGTGATATTTGCCATTAAAATTCTACAGTATTGCCAAGAAGAAAGGAAAATCAAAACAAACTCCCCCACAGAAATTCCACATACTTTGGAGAGTCCCTATCCGCAAACCTCCTCCCACACAGCAGATCTGAGGAAAAAAGCCGCACTGATTTTCTATTATTCCTGCTCATAAATCCTTGGAAACCATTAATTGCAAGTTAGAGAAATAGATTATTTTTGGAGTTTTACCATTTTTGTTAATTTATACACCAACAAAAAACAATGTACTTCATCTGTCTTTGGAAATAATGTAGGTACCACATGTACTCTCATAGGACCTCCATTGCAGTACAGCACCACTTATTAAACCACAAAAGTAGAGTTCCTATATTTTGCTAGGAGATATTAATAGTGTTTTAGCATGAAGTGTCTTCAACTGCAATTATTCATACATCTTAAATTAAACCTACAAGCTATAAAACAAAATGTAATTTGCTGTGTTGTACTTTGGAAAAAAAAGTTAGAAATCTTTTATTTATCCAGATGAATAACCCAATAAGCTCAGCATAATTAATTTTAAGAATGTGAAAGGAATTAAATAATGATTAGCTATTTGCTGAAGAATGTCACAAAGTTATTTTTTTCCTTCCATAGTAGTAGAGATTAATCTTAGTAGTCCTTCCAATTGTATCCTGCAGCGTTCTCTTATTAAGCTACTCTTATTGAGCAAGCCTAGTCTGTGGTAAATTGATGGGCAGTGGAAATGTCTGGAATGATTTTCGAATGCATTAAATAAACACTATCCACAGTGAAGTTTCTTAATGTAGATCTTTAACAGATGTAAATGGTTCCATTGAGTTCACATATATTTTCACCGTCTGAGGTTCTGGAGTTGGATTTTTCAGGCCTTTCCTACTCAACAAAGCACTTTAGCACAAACTCAGCTTTAGCACTCAAGTATGTGTCTAAAGCCCATTGCTTTCAACAGAACCAGCTTGTACTTAAACATTTATTGAACAAGGATTGATTTAAATATGTACTTTTATAAGTAGTCAACATCCTTTGACTCTGGTAAAAGTTACCTGAAAACTAGGGGCTTTTATACACGTGCTCCGGGACTGGGGGTGGGGTGTGCTTTAATTAGAGTAGTTCTCAGAACCACTCTAATTAAGGAGCCCGAAGCATCTTGTGTATCAGCATCCCTACACTTAAAAATAGTGGCAGGATCACTTTAACTAAAGCTTGTTCAACAAGCTTTAGTTAAAGTGTTCTTCCTGCCATTTTTAAGCATGGGGACGCTAATACATGAGGTGCTGGAGTCTGCTGGAGCATGGTAATTACTACACTCCAGCAGACTCTGTTAATCAAGCCTGCTCCAAAATGCTATAATTATAGCACATTCAAGCTGCCTCACTTTTTGAGTATAGATGCCCTATGGCAACAGAAATTATGACCTTTACTTCTAATGTGGGAAACTTATTATGTACCTCAAAGTACAGCACAGCTTGACCAGTTTCCAGGAAATCATCTTCAAATTAATTGATGGTGACCCACCAAGATAATGAAGAAACAAGATAAAAATCAGGTGCTAATATCAAAGATACCTCCTATTTGGATCCATTGAGACTGGACTACAAAAACAAGTTTAGGGTGCCCAAAGGTAACTTCTTCCTGCTGAAAATGATAGAAGATGTTCATTATTATAATGGTTGAATGTGTGTACAATATTTCCTCTGTTCTCATAAATACAAAAGAGATTCATCATAAAGCAATAAAAAGGCAGCAGTCCTTCCTTCAGCTGCAAACTACCATCTTGTTCCATTGTCTTTACAGCAGGGCTGGCCACCTTCTAAGCAGCTGGGGGCTGTACACCCAGAGGCCAGCCAGCTGAGGCCACGCACTGCAGGAGGCACATTAGCAGAGGCTGTGGGCTCCCCAGGTTGCACACCATGCCTGTATGCAAGAGGGTGCCCCACTACCCCTCTGCACTGCACACAGGCTGGTGGCCACTCCCCGACCTGAATGCACTAAGTGTGTAAATGGTAGTCAGTCATTTCCCCAACCTGCCACACCTTGCATAGTCCCTGCGTTACCTGCAATCCCTGTGGGCTCCTCTGTGACGTGCAATCTGGGAAGCCTGTGGTGCCTGCTCATGGCACCTCTTGAAATGAGTGGCATCTGCTGGTTGGCTTCTGGGTGTGCTGCCAGTCTACCTGATACTACAAGCTGTGCTACAATGCACTGCCCCTCCATACCCCCCGGGGCTGAGTTAGGCAGCAGAAGCCAGAAGAGGAAGAGGGAACTCCAAGACTTTTTCTGCTAGAGTAAGGGGCAACAGTGGTCAAGTGGGTGTCCAGGGCTCACATGTTAACCCCTTGGGTGCCTCATGCAGGCCATGTGCCACCAGTTGTACAACTTTAATTTAAAGCATACATTGTGGTATCCTTTTCTATATCTGCTGGCTTTTTTCTGTTGGCTTCCTCCCCCACTCAGCTTCCTATTAAATTTGAGTATAGATATATGAACAATTTACATGCGTTGGTGTGTGGGGCTTTACCATACATCAGTTGCTTTATGGTAACTACCCATGGACACTGCTTATATGGCTATATGTGACAGCTAAACAAAGGCAGTAGAGCTAAGCTACCTCAGCTTAACATTGGGCAAGAGCACACAGATAGTCCCTTTTGATGCACAAACACAGATACACATGCTCCATCCCTATTAAGATAAAGAATCATTTCTGTCTACCCTATGGCAAATTGGTCATATATTTAAATTCTTAGATCAGTACAGCCACGTAGAAAATGCTAGCAACCCACCATAGTCATAGAATAATTTAGCATCACTGAAAGTCACTCACATTAATTAATGAATAGTATCTTCTGCTCTGTCATAAAGCCCATATAACTTCTATAAGTAGATAAGTACTATTATCTACATTTTAAGGATTTTAAAGGAAAAAGAGAAGCAGGTAAGTGACTTTCTCAGGGCTACAAATGGAGCTAGGATTGAAATTTAAACTACTTTGGCTCCCTGATCTCATGGTCAGAACATTAGACTAGGATAATTTCAGTGTCCTTTGTGTTTTTTCCATAGGCATATTATGAAATAGTGCTTATTATTCTGAGCTACATTTACAAGTTCAGTACTCTCTTCCCAGCAAAGTGATATGATATCTTCAAGCTCCGTGACCATTTTAATATGTCCTGGAAACAAGAGGCTTAGCTTCGAAGGTGAAAATAAACTAACTGTAGTCTGAACAGCCCAAGGGATGATTTAGGTTCACAGAAAAATAAACTGTGATTTTACAGTCTTGTCTGATCTTGTGTGAAAGAGCTATAGTACTTGGATATGTCTGGGCAAGATGCCGCCGTATAATTATGTATGAGAAACTCACATATTTCTGCCTAATCCATGAACACTAATGCCTCCTTCAGAATGTTTGGATTTTTTGCTGTATAAAAAGTTCATTTTGTGGGCTAAAACAGATGACTATGAACATACTTTTAACATAGACAAAATGATGTTATCTGCATGAAATTATGAGCATTATGAGCTAAAGTCATGAAGATTGTCAGAATCAATCAGCCCAGAGATGAGGTCCTGGTAAACAAAATAGCTAATGTAGTGCAACAGAAATTTCAGACTTGTGAGCAAGCGACACAATAAAGATGAGTAGAAATATTGCAATGTTTGAAAAGGCTCTCACTTTAACTAAAGGGAATGATGTGGTTTATTTCTGCCTTTAAAATTCTGTAGAACCTGCACTTGAGATCATAAATCTCCATGAGAAATTGAAACATAATCATATTCCATGGATGAGCTATTCTATAACTTTGCCTGGACTTATTTGATTTATAGTGAATTAAATTGTTTATGACTGTTGATATTTTCATTAAAATGCATGCAGGATCTACCTTAACCATTGCTTCAAAGATATCCAAGAATTAAGGGGGAAATTCTTCTGTCATCTTTCTAGAAAACTAACATGTTCAATATTTGGCAAGGTTTTGGGAGTAATTTCATGTCTGAAACATCACCCATGAGGAAATTTCTAAGGAGACAATAATATACCTATATCTACAGGCAGTTATAAACAGGCATGCAGGCATCCTCTGGCTTTTCTTCTACTCTAATAGGAAAATATCTGAGAAACTAAAAAAGTTCAGTAGCGCCTCTGCTACTCACTGGAGGGCCATTTTAGTGAAGGAGCAAGACTATTTCATACAACATAAAAAAATCGATCCATATGCCCTCTAGTTTATTGAGCCCTTAATAAAAGGCCGTATTAGTAGGGAATACAGTGCAAGGCTGCATGTTGGTGAGGGTTTATGATCATTAAATCTATTAGTCTAGAACAAACACACAGCACAGCAGAACCAACACACCACACACAGCACTACAGAAATTAGGATCCCGTCAGTTAGCATAAACATTGTTTTGTGAGAGAGAAGGTACAAAAATTATACTAACATTGTACCATACACACAGAAAGCAGTCTACAGCTATAACCAAACAGATGGTCAGGGCACACAGAGTGCTGTAAAAATGGTGCACCCCTCTCTAAGATAACCCTGGATGGATGTGGTATTGGACTTCAGTGCTATTGGTTAGAGTGCTGTAATGAACATCTGTACCACATCCCATTGTGGCTCACGGTAGGTCACATTCCACACACAAACCATGAAGCTTTATGGCACCCTGTTCACCTCCCTTAGGGGGGTGGCACTCTAGCCTCAGCCAGAGCTCAACTCCTCTGTACAAGCACTGGCCTGGCCCCATCCCCAGGATGTCACTGACAAGCATCAGGGAAGCCTTCTCTGACAAACATCTGTCCCCAGGCCCGCAACCTTTCTCCCCATCTGGTCTTGCTGACTGACCATGTATGGCAGAGCCCCAGAAACACTATGGAAGTTCCATGTGTTTCCAGGGGCAGCCTAGTACAGGCCAGTCCAGGATCTGGAGGCCAGGTGATGTAGGAGCAGGGGCCCCAAGCCTCTGAAGTGAAAGTGAGAATCATGCACCAAGACCTGAACCTTCATAGATTCAGAGATGCTAGGGTTTGAAGGGACCTCAACATGTCATTGAGTACGACCCCCTACCCAGGCAGGAAAGACTGCTAGGGTCAGATGACCCCAGCTAGATGCCTATCCAGCTTTCTCTTAAAGACCCCCAAGGTAGGGGACAGCACCACCTCCCTTGGAAACCCATTGAAGAAAAAGCCCATGAAGAAGTTTTTCCTGATACCTAGCCTAAATCTGCTCTCTGTCAGTTTGTGATCATTGTTCCTTCTTATCCCAAGAGGTGCCCTGGTGAACAGAGCATCTCTGATCCCTTGCTTTGTCCCTCTAATGAATTTGTGGGTGCCCACAAGATCACCTCTCAGCGTTTTCTTGCAGAGGCTGAAGAGATGCAGGGCCCTCAATCTCTCTTAATAGGGTTTGTCCTGTGAGCCCCTAGCCATATGAGTGGCCCTCGTCTGGACTCTCTCAAGTCTGTCAACATCCTTCTTGAAGTACAGTGCCCAAAACTGGACACAGTACTCCAATTGCAGTCTGACCAGTGCCACATAGAGGGGAAGTATCACCTCGTTGGTTCTATTTGTCATGCATCTGCTGATACATGATAAAGTGTGGTTAGCTTTGCTGATGATTTCATCAAACTGATGACTCATGTTCATCTTGAAGTCCACTATGACTCAGAGATCCCTTTCTGCTTCTGTGCTGCTGAGAGGGTCACTTCCCAGCCAGTAGGTGTGCTGGATATTTCTGTGCCCTAGGTGCAGCACTCTGTACTTGTCCTTGTTGTACTGCATCCTGCATTGTGTACTGCCCACTTTTCTAACCTGTCCAGGTCTGCCTGCAATCATTCCCTACCCCCAGGTCTGCCTGCAATCATCCATCCATCCAGTGAGACAGCCTTCCAGCCTTCCACCCGCCACCCTCCTCCTTGCAGCCCAACCATCACCAAGACACCATGGGCACTGCCATGGACCATGGATGAACCTGGCCCATCTACGACCACCTCCAAAACCCAGGAATCTAGTGGCAGTTTAGGGGAATAAAGGATCTCATGTCCATCTGGGGTGAAGAAAACATCTAGCACCAGCTCCAGATAGGACACAAAATCAGAGATGTCTTCAAATGCATCACCCAGTGGATGTGCATGTGGGGCAACAACAGAGACTGGGAGGAGTACCTTGCCAAAACCATGGAAATAAGGAGGCATTATTACCCTATGTCTGACACTAGACAGTGGTCAGTGGGCTGGGGGAAAGCATACCATTCTACAAGGGCCTATGCCACTTCCTCTCCAAGAATAGGGTAGATGACATCCCCCATACTCCCGGGACCAGGTGTGTTCTGGAGGAGTTGCCCACTGGTACCCTGATGGAGAAGGAGGCAGCACAGAGAGGCCATGGGACACTGTTCCCCAGACAAGTGTCATAGCTGTTCCAGAGTGAGTCCTATCACACATTTCTGCACCCCTCCCAGAAGCACAGAGCATG